ATCAGCTTTCACATTTCAAGAATCATCGGTTATCGGCTTTCAAAGATAAAGAATTATCGGTTATCTGCTTTCAAAGATAAAGAAATATCGTTTATCGGCTGTTAAATATAAAGAAATATCGGTTATTGGCTTTCAAATATAAAGAAATATCGGTTATCTGCTTTTAAAGAAATATCGTTTATCAGCTTTCACATTTCAAGAATCATCGGTTATCGGCTTTCAAAGATAAAGAATTATCGGTTATCTGCTTTCAAAGATAAAGAAATATCGTTTATCAGCTTTCACATTTCAAGAATCATCGGTTATCGGCTTTCAAATATAAAGAATTATCAGTTATCGGCTTTCAAATATAAAGAAATATCGGTTATCGGCTTTCAAATATAAAGAATCATCGGTTATCGGCTTTCAAAGATAAAGAATTATCGTTTATCGGCTGTCAAATATAAAGAAATATCGGTTATTGGCTTTCAAAGATAAAGAAATATCGGTTATCTGCTTTTAAAGATAAAGAAATATCGTTTATCAGCTTTCACATTTCAAGAATCATCGGTTATCGGCTTTCAAAGATAAAGAATTATCGGTTATCTGCTTTTACATTTCAAGAATCATCGGTTATCGGCTTTCAAAGATAAAGAATTATCGTTTATCGGCTGTCAAATATAAAGAAATATCGGTTATCGGCATCAGCTGAAATTTTCACATCGGTGCATTCCTAAAATATAGGAGAAAAATATACGATATTTCAGCATCCACATTGCAATGAACATCACATCAAGGGATCGGTACGGGTTCTGAACACGTGATTAGTGGATTAATTGCAAGGTTTAACCATCAAAGTTTATAATATTCACATTTAAGTCACCTCATTGTAAACATTTAAGCGAGTTTAAAGCATTCAGGTCAAGAAGAAACAAACACAGAATTCTGTTTTGTTTCTTTTTGTGCTTGGACAACATACATGATATTAATAAACACAGTCACTTACATCTTAAAGAGCTGTCAAATTTTGACATATAACTATTTTTCCACCATTAAAACATCCTGCAAGTCCTCCTTATTAAAACGTTCTTAATATAAACTAAGCATTTATTTAACCAAGCTCCAAAAACGGCTTGTTTGCATATTGCAGGATTTTTGATCTGCATAGCCTTCAGAGCAAGACATCGACCAATAGTTATACATCATCACTTGATAGGCCCCGCCCAGTGGTGTTCACGTGCTTAATGGCTGACATTTACCTTTTTTGTCTAGATTATTGTATTTAACATCAACACCAAAGCAATCTCAGAGCAAATACATAGCCAAAAAACAGAGATATCATTTAAGGTTTCCCAGCCAGCAGCATAAAAACATGCCATTTAATACGACTCTTCCTAGAAGCAGATAAAAGCCGTAATGTTAAATTCATGTGGCAAAAAGTGAGGGAAGAGAAAAGATAGAAACTTTCCCCCACCCCACCTGCTTTATCACTTTGTCCCCTAGAGGAAGGGAACATTATGCAGGAGGACAATGAGCCGAAGCAACCCGGGCCTGTTGCAACAGGTTGGCACTGCAACAAAAAAGCATCTGTGTGTGCGACACACTCTCTGTAAGAGAGCGATACACTTCTGCATATCAAACACGCATGCACACAACATTAAACTCCCGCTAATTGCGTGTTAATTATCCAATGCAATGCACTCGCTCGAGTACAACTGGTGCCCTCAGCAACTCCTCAGTTCTTCAACCCTTGAGCTACAAACCCAGATCTGCAGCCACAGTGTTCTTGATTCACACCGTACATTCTGCATGTAGATACTAGTCACCGGCGGCATGAATAACACCTCCAAACCTACAGAGACCTGGGATTTTCAACTAATGCAATCTCTCAGACTTACACCGAAGCGAGATCACAATATCACAGAGACTTTCTCACAAGAAACCACCTAGCAACTGCTCACAACACCTTAGCAACCACAAAGCAACACCTACAACACAGAACCACTCACACTTTTGTCAGAAAATGCAGAAATCTATTTATGAACAAGTCAGCTTTGTTTATATGGCGCTTTTTGCAATACAGATTGTTTCAAAGCAGCTTTATAGAGATTAATCAAATGTTTCTAGTAGAAAATAGTGTCATAGTCCAGCTTAAAGGAGTAGTTCACTTTTTAAAAAAATGTTGCTGATAATTTACTCATCCAAGATGTCCATGTCTTTCTTTCTTCAGTCGAAGGTTTTTGATGAAAACATTCCAGGATTTTCTCCATATAATGGACTTCAATGGGGTCCAAACGGTTCAAGGTCCAAATGAGAGTTTCAAAGGGCTTTAAACGACACCAGACGATAAATAAGGGACCCTTCGAGTCATGACTCGAAAAAAGATTCATTCATTTTGAACAGGAGAGTCACGAACGCAAATCACAGAACAGAGCAAGGCGAGCATTTGAGCTTATAAAACTTAAACTTTGTTATTTATTTTTTAAATGGCCGATCGTTTCGCTTGATAAGACCCTTATTCATCGTCTGGTGTCGTTTAAAGCCCTTTGAAGCTGCACTGAAACTCTCTTTTAGACCTTGAACCGTTTGGACCCCATTGAAGTCCATTATATGGAGAAAATCCTGGAATGTTTTCATCAAAAACCTTCGACTGAAGAAAGAAAGACATGCACATCTTGGATGACATGGGGGTGAGTCAATTATCAGCTCAAGTTTTTTCAAAAGTGAACTACTCCTTTAAGATAATTTCTGTTGTAAAAAAGTTATTAATTTAGTTTGTTTATACATCCAGCCTCTCTGGAGAAACCGTGATGTCATCGTCCAGCTCAGTTCTCAAATAATGGTGTCAATGCAGGAGATCAATATTATATGTCACCAACTAAGCAAACCAAAAAAGTCAAGACTCAAACTCAACATGAAATGTCTCTTACAAACACACACATTCCACTAACAAGAAATCTATTTTTATGGCGCAATAACTCTTTCCTACAGGCTTTCAAGATACATTTCCAGTGAGCGCATCCCCTCTGGCTTGATCTGGATAGCTCTCGCACTCAAGCTCTTCAAAGCCTCAACATCTGGCAGAATGGCCTCGGAGAACAGACCTAATAGTTTACAAGACCACAAATCTATCACCTCCAATAAGACCGGGCGGGTTCTGGCACCCACAGAAACGCATTCGACGACTTCCCAGGAGAGCGATCCCCAAGCCATTGTACTGTACATCAACAAATACTACACACTCGTATGAATAAAGGTTATTTATTGGCATTGATGGTTCATGGATCATTAAGCAAAAGTTTCTTTATAGAGGAAAATGGAAATACTTTATTTACAGTGTCCTTGTTACAAATGTTACATGTACTTAGCGTAGTAATAACAGTAAATTATGCATAATTACATGCAACTAACCCTCAACCAAACCCTAATCCTATAGTATATGTAATCAGACTGTAACAAATAAAGTGTAACCCAAAAAAAAGATTATTTTAATAATGTTCACTTCTTCAAGGAACCAAATATGGTTATTCAACATAATCGCTGTGAAAACCTACTTAAGGTATGACAATATCTACAAGTGGCCCCAAAAATAACAATACACAGAATGGAACCGTGCTTTTATTTTGTAAGAAGTGTGTGCCAGTGCCGTTTCTTTATTTATTTCATCTAATATCTAATGCAATGACATTCAGATTCAGTTTTTCGAAGACATCTGTTTTCCCAGCAAGCCATTCTGCGTTTAAAAGACGTCTAATAGCCGTTCAGATGTCTAGGCGAACTTTGGGCTGTCAGTGAAAATGTAATAGATGTCTAAAAACCAAAGCTAAGAATAGACTAGTCATCATTTAGACAACATGTCAAAGAAATGAAACCAAACACTTTGTAATCACTGTTTACTTTGCTTACATGATTGAATATCAGACATCTCACAAGTTATTTTGGCAAAAACGACGGGGAAGGTTATTTTGGCTAGAAGTGTGTTACTCATATCGGGTCTATAGTTAACCTATTGCTTGCTGGGTTCCCTCACAGATCTTGTGCCATTTACATTTATGCATTTATCCAAAAGCAGAACAAAAGCAATTCTATTGATCACATGCAATGGCAGGATTATTGGGCAAATCGATTAGTTTTTTTCCCTAGCAACCACTCAAAATACCATAGAACACCTTAGCAACCACCCGAAATACCTTAGAACCCCCTAGCAACCACCCAGCAACCGCCGAGCAAGCCCCAGAACACCCTTGTAACCACACAAAATAACTTAGAATACCCCAGCGACACCATAGCAACCAACCAAAATACCTTAGAACACCCTAGCAACCACTCAAAATACCTTAGAAACCACCTAGCAACCACCCAAAACATATTAGAACACCCTAGCAACCTTTAAACTTTCAACTAATTTAAACTTCAAAGTACTTTAAAATTCGAACTAATTTAAACTACTCATGGAACCGTTCCTTGTTTCTGAACAAAATGGTTCTTTTTAGAATGTTCACTTTAAAGATTCTTAGGTGAACCAAATATAGTTATTTCCACGTCATTGCTATGAAAACTTCTTGGAACTTTTATTTTTTCAGAACGTTTGACAATAAAAATAAAAAAAACAAACAAAATGTAACTGCTTTTGGTTACACTGTGTAATTTTTACAGTGTAATTAACTACACGCACTTACTATAAGGTTAGGGTAGGATTAGGTTTTGGTTGAGGGTTAGTTGCATGTAAATATGCATAATTTACAGTTATTACTTTGGTAAGTATATCTGTAAAATAAAGTGTCACCCTGCTTTTATTGTGCTAGAAGCGTGCCGTTACACTTTCTTTAATCTAATATCGAAAGCAATGACATTCAGACAGATTTTATGGCCACAGCATCCCAGTTCAGACTGAAGACGCACATCAGTGATCTTGTGTCATTTACCTTTATGCATTTTTCCATAAGCAGAACCAAAGCATTTGGATTCATAATGGCAGGGATTATTAGGTAAGTTCTCTAAAAGCATCTCCCAGGTCTTACCTGCATGAGTTTCCCTCTGGCACTGCCTGCGCTGCCCCCGGCGAACACCCCCTCCAGGGTGATGATGGGCCTGCTGGTGGACTCCTGCTTCAGCAGGGTCACCTTGATCAGGGCTCGTTCGGTCTCCACGGCAGCGGCCAGTTCCAGGCCCGTTTGGCCCAACACCACCTCCAGGCCAGCCATGAGCATCCACGGCCAGAGCCCGGCCCAGCGCCGCACAGGAACCCTCATTGTCCCGGATGCAGCGGCCGGCTCCGGCCATACATTATGCACTGTCTGTCCACAAACCTATCCGTCCAGAAAAAAAAAAACAAAAAAAAAAACACTAGAATCCACAAGGGTCACTAAAACTGTCCAGAATTTTTTTTTTTTTTTTTTTTTTTTAATCCAATGGTTTTTAGAGTGGATTGTTGTGTTGTGATGTGAAATGCAAATCTAATCAAACAAATGTTGGCCTGTATCACTGACTGAACATGATTGACAGGTGGTGAACTGTGACTGAGAGACAGTGATTGACAGCGGACTGACTCCTGGCGTGAGCATTGATTTAAGTGGCAAAACTTCACAGGGTTTGATGTGATCTCCTACAGATCGATCGTTTCACCGATTCCCGCGCGTCGTGATTGACACGGTGACGTCATGCCGACTCCGTTACTGTGCGGAACGCCGCGTCCACTTCAAAGGATTCCAAACATTCCAGAATGTAACAGGTTGTCGCAGAATCGCCGTCTCCATCAATGCGACAATGTATCAGTTATTCCGCTCGAAGAAAATATTCATACGAGTTTATAATCCCAGTGTGAACGCCTGGAGATGTTTCCCGTGAGGAACGACATATAAAATGCGACGGGGAAAAATGTGACTAGCTTTGCAGGAGAGATCGAAAGCACTGTCAGGGAGTGAGAGCCCTTTCTGAACGTTCATTTCCATGTTCCTAAATGAATTAAGTTACTTCACAAACCTGTTCGACTCAAATTAAATCTCCACAGATCCATGTCGAGAAATCCAGGCACTTCATGTGTAGAATCCGCTCGCGCTGCGCCGAAGTAAAGTCTCAGTGCTGTTGATCCGGACTGCAGGAACGCTGGAAAAGTTTAAAGTTGAGAGAGTGCGAGCGTGTGTGTGTGTGTGTGTGTGTACCTGCTGACTGTCAGTGAGGGTGGAGCAGAACAGCAGAACTGATCCGACCCATTAAACACACACACACACACACGCATACTGCGCCCTCTAGCTCACATCAGGGGAGAAACATCACGATTTCTGCATATTAAACTCAAAACTAATAGAAACTAAACTAATACTAATCTTGATAATCATCACTACAACATAATTACTTCATGAAATAATGTAATAGGCTTGTTATGATCGAATAATCATTATCCCTCGATTGCAGGACAGCTTGAAACTTGAACTCATGTTGAAAAATTGTTAAACAATTTAATTTAATTGAATTACTAAAGCACTGGACTGACTCATCTGAATTGAGCTTTACATCAACATATTTGATGAAGTTTGCATCATTAATTCTGATATTTTCCTGTTTATTGCCGTCAAGCTCCTCGGTTACTGTGCGAGTTATAGGAATAAAAAAAGATTTAGTGTATTAATCATTTATCATGACTTGAGCAGGTTTATAATAAAATAATTTGACTATGCCGTCAAAATAACACAAAACAATGACACTCGTTCAGCCTTTATCAGGGTTTTCACTCGCTTTGCATTTATTCAAATTCCAAAAAGCTGAAAACAAATCAGGTCATTTCACTGCAATTAAAATCTGACCTTCACTCTTGTGCTGTTAAATATATAAACTATATACTGATGCTGAAATATATCAGATAATTACAAATAAAATATCACTTTCACTATAGATATTAAAAGCATAAGTTTAGCATAAATAACATGGGGGGGAGGGGCATGCAATATTAGCATAAAACTACTTGAAATCACAAAAGCAAAACTTTCTTAAATAATTCATACCATTTTTTATATATATATTGTTCATATTATGATGTCATGTGCATATGCTGATGAATCCTGCCTGTCATCTGTGGATCATATAATAACAACCATAAAAAGTAACAATTAAAAAACAATCTGAATGATTATGTAAAAACATAACGTAATGTGTGTGTGGTACCTACAGCAGCAGCAGGGAGCGTTTCACGAGTCTTCTGCTGTCCGTTTCTGATCTGAAACCTGATTTACAGAGGGTTGCACTATAGCATCAATGTAGCATCAATGTGATATTATTTCAATGTGATTTATGATATTAGCCTGGGGCAACCTGTAATTCTAGAGAACACACACTTAAAGACAGTGTTTGGGAAAGTTACTTTGAAAAGTAATGCTTTGCAATATTGTGTTACCCCCTTCAAAACTAAATTGCTTTACTCATTACTTTTAAAGAAAAGTAAGAGTTACATTACTTTTGCGTTACTTCTCACCTGGGCTGGGCTTGTTTTTTTAGTTTTTTTAATAGCAAAAATGATCTATCCTTGGGCTAATGATCTATATTTTTTAAGTTAAAGTTAATAAAGTGAAAAGGAAGTGGATCCTTTCAGTTTAACTGGATCATTGAAGGTCAGCAGCAAGTACATTTGTCAATAAAGTGAGATTAAATGTATGTTTTATTTAATATATGAAGAGTTCAGATGCAAAAGCCTCTAAATGCCATTTGAAATTTTCTTCTTTATTGATGATTTTTATCAAACTTGTATATTTAAGTTCAGTAATTTCACTTAAATAACAATTAATAGGTAATTATCATTGCCATTTAAGTGAAATTACTGAACTTAAATATACAAGTTTGATAAAAATCATCATTAAAGAAGAAAATTTCAAATGGCATTTAGAGGCTTTTGCATCTGAACTCTTCATATTTAATTATTGGAGGTTTACGTAGTATTCTGATTTAGCATTTTACTGATTTCATTCATTTTGAGGAATTCTGACTCTGTTTTTTTTGGGATGAGTAAATTTTAGTAGAACTAGCCATCAATGTACTCACGACAGAAGAGGAGTCAGTCAATCCATGGGAAAACAAAGTAACTTGCATTACTTATTTTGGAAAAATAACTTTTGTTGTAAATTTATAAGGAATTCTTTACTTTACTAGTTACTGTTACACTTACTTAAAGAGTATTCATCACTTAAATGAGCTCATTGTTTCTGCTTTAAATTTTTACATTGTTTAAATAAATACATTTTTCGCTAACTGTGATTTTGTATATGTACATTTCTGAAATACATAACTTTAGACACTTTATACATAACAGATCACTCTAAATTGTGATGTGGACTCGTGCATTTTCTGTAAAGCTGCTTTGAAACGATGTGTATTGTGAAAAGCGCTATACAAATAAATGAGAACTGAATTGAATTAAAGACCAGCAAAGAAGAAACCAGCGTCTTTTAACCTTTTCTGAGGACTCCGGAGATGTTGAAGTGTTTTCCATCAGCTGGTGGACTCGTGGATAGTCCAGCTCCTGTTCCTCTGGCTCTAGTTTGATGACAGACGGACGCTCGTCTCTCTGAGGACAGACGGATCCCGCAGGTGAAGTGCCGAGAGGAGGGCAGGAGGAGTGTGTTCCCAATATGTGGACGTTAGGCAAACCCTGGAACTCGTCCACCATCTGGAAGACTGTGTCCAGGTTGACGTCGCCTCTCTGAGACTCAGGCGGACCGTGTGCTGCCCAGTTTGAGTGATGGTGAGCCACTGGATAGTTCTGCAAGAGTAATGATAATGAACATCTTTAAAATGCTGTAGAATGAAACCTGCCAAGTCTGTGTGTGTGTGTGTGTGTGTGTACCTATTTAACCATATTTTGGGGACAAACTTGTACCCAGAAGTGAGCAAAACCTGACAAAACCTCCCTTTAGTGACGTCTGGTGGTATAAATTTGTAAATCTGGTATGGAAAATAAAAAATTATTGAAAATGTAAAAATGCAGAAAGTTTAGTGTGATGGGTAGGTTTAGGGTGAGGCTTTGTGTGTTTGTTTGTGTGTGTGTGTGTGATAAAAATGACAAAGACATTTGACTTGGCAGGTTTCATGCGATTCTTTTGAATATTGAGAATAATACGCCACATTTTTTACAGATTCCCTCAGTAATTGTTCACTGAGACAGTTATTTGTGAATATGAATGATCAGAAAGATGTGCAATAATGTTTGTCTTCATATCAACTGTGTAATGGGACTCACCGGGTAATAAGCATAATGTGCTGCGTATGACAGAGATGTTTCATCTCCACCTGATCCATCTGCTTCCATTAAGCCAGCAGTGCAACCCTGACAAACTACAGAAAGCACACACACACACAAACACAGCACATTTACAGTATAAGCTAACATAAACACAAGAGTAAGCATCAGTTTTATCTCCGATGCTTCTCCTAAAATTTCTAAGAAAACAAATAAGATTTTTTTGTTTTGATTAATGACGTTTGATTGAGACATAGTTGAGATCTCTTCTGAAACTCAAGACACATAAGAGATTACTTAGAAGACAAATATTACTTAAAGTCGGCATGAAATCAAATTTGACAATTCTTCTTTTTATATGTATTATTGTAGTGTTTATTATAAATGATTCATCTGTGCACTTCATTGTTTTTTTTTAATTCATATAATTCAGGAAATAATTGAAAACTGTGTTTTGTTTCCTGCTGAAAATACAAAATACACTGGAAACACAGATTCGAGATGAATTGATGCAAATGTTGCAAATCTACCTGGCGAGTAAAATCCTGGAGGATAGGACAGGTGATGTGGGATATATTTCGTCTCGTGTGGGAACAGGGCAGCGGGACTGGACTGGACTTTACGAGGAGCGCTGTACGGATACGAGCGGATCACAGACACGGGGATGCCTCTGCTAGGGTAGAAAGGAGGCACATCGCTGCAAGGAAAGATCCAGGAGTGAGGAGGGACCAGGCTTCCGTCAAACCCCTCCAGCTGATGGGATGAACCTAAGAAATGAGTATGAAGAACTTTTTGAGTAGTTTGTAGAACATTCAAGGATTGTATTTTACCTGACAGATCCAGAGGCGTCATAAACCTAGTCTAATGAGAGATTGCACAGACAATGGGTGGAGCTTGATGTCCAGCTCCGCCCCCCACTGCATGTGATGGGTGGAGCTAGACTTGTCCAACCACACCCTTATAACCAGGGGCTAGTTGTTCAAAGGTAAGATGATCGGATTTTGGTTATCGGATTGGATCAAATCTTGAAAATGGGTTGTTCAAAAGGGAAAGAAGGAATCTGAAATCAGATTAAATCAGGGAATCCAATCCTAGTTTTAATCTGGATCAAACCTTCGGTTTGTGTTGTTCAAAACTGGTCAGTGGGATTTGGACAACTTTGATCATTAAAAAAAAACAGGATTATCCTGATCCCAACAGGGATTTCAAGGTGGATTTCAGTAAGAAAATGTAGTAAAACTTTAAAATTGGTCAAATAATACATTTGAATCATTTTATAGCCTACTTTTTTTTATATTTTGCACTTGATTTGTGTAACCGTTGTAACAGTGATAAAGTAGACATAGGCTAACAATTAAGCTATTCAGTATAGTAAAGTAAAAATAAAATAAAAAATGATCTTTTCCCCATTTGAGTTTTGCCTCAAAATAAGAAACACTGACAGTGACCCCATGTTGGCTCTTCTGCCTGTTCTTAGCCCATATTGTGATATGTTGTCCCATTTAGAGCACTGGTAATCCGGATTTGGTAATCTTAAAAACTGTGTATCTGGATCAGGGTGATCCAGTCCAATGTTGCTTTGAAAAACCGGCATAAAAGTAAGACGGTTTACCTGATCCTAGATAGGAAAAAATGGGATTTCCAAATTTGATCATTTTGATCCAGATTAAATGTTTTGAACAACTGGCCCCAGGGTTTGAAATGAACACCCGCCGACTGCTGTCAAATCACCAGCCTATGTGGCGCGTTACATATTATGTTTACTCACTTTGCTGGGGATTTCGTGTAAGACAAATCTACACAGATTTAGCGCAAAAATTCAACTCGTGAGTCATCATGATATATTAAATACAGAGTATTGTTGTGTATCTGTGCATATCTGAACACACTCGTCACTACACAACAAATAACGGCGCGCCTGTTCATTTGCATTGAAGCAATAGCGAAGATTAAAGCATTTGGTTAACACAAAAGACTGTTATTTTCCAACATCCTACTTTTTTACTGAATTGATCTGCCCACCTTAAACACATTTTTGGTGAAAAGGACGAAGAAAGGGAGGAGATGACTGGATATTTGAATAAGAAATGAATGTATGAAATCCAAATTTTATATGCCATATAAATATCAATCAACATCTGCACCAAAATTGCATATTTTTTTAGGGCTGTCAAACGATTAATCGCATCCAAAATAAAAGTTTGTGTTTACATAATATATGTGGGTGCACTATGTATAATTATTTTGTATATATATATATATATAAATACACACACATGCATGTATATTTAAGAAAATGTAAGAAAAATATATAAAATATTTCTATTTATATATAATATAATATTATACAGTATATACATGTAAATATTTCTTAAATATATACAAGCATATGTGTGTATTTATGTATATAAAACAATTATACACAACACACACATATATTATGTAAACACAAACTTTTATTTTGGATGCGATTAATTGCGATCCCTAATCCCTAATATTGTGTTTTCCTCCATATTCCCACTTTAACACACTAAATGAGCCATAAAAGTTTGTTGTATAAAATATGATAGCGTATATTTTTTTCAACTGCACACTGAAATGAGATTTTCTGACTATTATTTCACTTGTCAGACTTGTAGATGTGTAGAGTAATTCATCGAGCAAGCATGATTCCTCAAATCTGTCTCTTACCACCATATTAACTTTATAAATGTTTGATTGGTGTGAGAGTTGAACTGGCCTGTATTATCTGTTTCTGTAGTGTTTGGCTGAGGCTGGTGATAGACTTGACTCGGGGGTCGATAGGTCGCCTCTGCTCCGGCCAGGATCTTGGCCTTGTTCCTGATGGTCAGCCTCTTCAGATGGACCAGAAGTTCTGGCCGGCCCTGTTTGAAGAAGGGATGGTAGAAGTGGTGCAGGTTTCGGTGTCTGTCTTTGGGTGGCCCGTCGAACAGCTTCCGGAAGCCGTACAGGTTGAGCTGTCGGATGAAGCTGGTGAAATTGGTGGTCTTGAAGAGTTTAGCGTCTCGTTTGACCGGTGACAGCAGTTCGTCCTCGAAACGCTGCTGGTTGACAATAAAACTGTCTCCATTTGGGCTCCAGCAGACTGAGTTGTTCTTGGGATCGTTTGTCAAACCCCATAACTTAGCTGGAAAGTTATTGTGGTTAATGTGGACTTGGAGAAGAGAATGATCAAACTCCATATCCATGTTCAGTGACAATCAAATCAAATAATCTCTCACTTCATGACCTGCAGATGATGGAAACTACATGAACATATCTAAAAATTCAACATAAACAGCACTACAACACATTATTACGATATCAGTTCATATATAGATTGAATAGATCATTGTAATATATAGATTGAATAGATCATTGAATAGATCGTGGTAACACTTTGGGGTAACATAGTTAACTAACGTTAGCAATGAAAAATACTAACGTATTCTACAATATTACTTATACATCAAATCAATTGACCTAAAAGTTGTCATAGTAATAGTACACAACAACACATGTAACGTTATATTATCAAAATATATTAAACTTTGTTAATGATAATTGATCAATGAATGTCTTTACGGTTCTTTATATATTTACCATCTCATCCAAGAGCCGTTACTGGAACCGTTATGCGCGTTCACATAGATCCCATTTAAACCGCCTCAGAGGCTCGCGCGACCGTCAGTTAACAGCGACCTCTAACGGTTGTTGTGGTCACTGTAGTTTAAATCGGTGTGAAACAAATTAATTTTGTTGAAAACAATGCTACTATTAAATTCTTAAAAATATAGAATTAATTGTCTCTCTGTTTATATCCAGTAGGTCTTTTACATTCCAACAATTCTGTGCAACTCTGTGAGACTCTTATTTTGTGTTCTTATTGGAACGTAGCATCATTGGTCACAAACTACAGATCGAAATCCAACTTCGCGACAGAATTAGAAAAACAAATATATATATACAATACAATACATACATAAGAATAATATTCCACGTTAATTATGTGAATCAAAATATAAATAACAAATATTTCACTTCACGATTACGCACACGACGCATATATATGACGTCATTAAGCGTCGCCGAATGTGCGGTTGTGGCTAGCAAGCGCTAACAACAAACAATCGCTGTTCCGAGGCATCTATTAAGATTATTTTTTTTGCTTAATTTTCAGTATATTGCGTTAAAGCAACAGGAATGTCTCTGGATACTGTCCCGAAAGATCTGCGGCATCTGAGAGCGTGTCTGTTGTGCTCTCTTGTCAAGGTAAAAATCAGACATTGATGATAACAGATGGTTTTATTATTGACTTATTGAAATGTTTAGATAGCGAAGATAAGTACAAGAACAAGATCATTAACAAAACGGTTTTGCCATACCCAAAACATGACCATGGTACGTTTTTAATTTTCTTTTTTATAACATATAAACATCATTCTGCCTCTTACAGTCATAATATGTACAGTATGCTGTTAGATACAGTCGTAGACTGAACCTTTGTTAATCATCGGTAGCATCACAATTACTACTAGTAGTTACCGGTGACTGTGGCTAAAGTGTAAGGGAATACTAATCTAATCTCATCTTCTCTGGTTTCAGACTATTGATCAGTTCGAGTATGATGGATGTGACAACTGTGAATCATACCTGCAGATGAAGGGCAATCGGGAGATGGTTTATGAATGCACAAGCTCTTCTTTTGATGGGTCAGTGGTTAAATAGATGTTTGGCTCGCTTGCTTTCTTCCAAGGATCATAAACAAACAGAATATGTGGTGATTTACACTTTTTAAAAGCACCATCAAATAATCAATACAGTTTAAGATGGAGAATCCCACTGGTCTGGAAAGTTACGAGTGTCTTAGAGATGAACTTTTGCTTGAAGGGACACTGACACGTGTTGGATTTCATTTAAACACTGATGTGTGTGTCTTCTTCATTACAGTGTCATTGCTATGATGAGTCCAGAGGACAGCTGGGTGGCAAAATGGCAACGAATCGGTAAGTATTTAATTTACATTTATTCATTTAGCAGACGTGACTTACAAATGAAGAGAGCAGAAGCAGTCAAATCAACATTAGGGATAGTTCACCCAAAATTGAAAATTATCCCATTACTTACTCACCCTGATGTCATCCTAGGTGTCTATATGACACCCGTCTTTCAACCAAACACAATTGTATAAAAAAAAATGTCCTGGCTTTTCCAAGCTTTATAATAGGAGTGAATGGAGCCTGAGATTTTGAAGCCTAAAAAGCACATCCATCCAACTCCATGGGGTTAATAAAGGCCTTCTGAAGCAAAGTATATAAAATATCCATATTTATAACTTGATAAACACATGGCTTCACTTCAGAGGGTTATGGTTAACTTTTATGATGGATGGATGTGCTTTTTGGGCTTGAAAAACTCGGGCTCTATTGACTGTCGTTATATTATTTAATATAACTCTGATAGTGTTTGATTGAAAGAATGTCATTTACACTTAGATGATACACCTTGATGGGGAATAAATGAGGGATATTCAATTTTGGGTGAATTAACCCTTTAATCTTCAATTATGAAACAAAAACAGTTCCAGCTGTAAAGCAGCTCTAATAAAACAACATTATTCAGCTCAGTAACAGTGTGAATGTTGCGAAGTTCATCAATTGTGACGATAAAGAAGCTCTATACATGATAATAGCTATTATAGTCATTATTCCGCTGTTTGAGTTATGAAATGAGTTGAGTTCAGCTTTAGATGACAACAGTGTTGTTGATTGACTTCAGTTCAATAACGTCCATGTCTTTCTCAGGTAACTTCAAGCCAGGTGTCTATGCAGTGACCGTGACGGGTCGGCTACCTCCAGGTGAGAGTCGGGTTTTGATATTGTTGACTGCAATAAAGGACAGTGTGTGTGTTTTCAATCTAAACGTTGGCATGTGAAGCATATCACGTCTTTGAAATAAGTTTGAAATGACTCACGAGAGTGTGACTTTGTTCTCTGTCAGGTGTGGTGCGAGAGCTGAAGAGCAGAGGCGTCATCTACCGCTCCAGAGACACGGCTGTTAAAACATGAACACTGACACACACACACAATCAGCTGCTCTGCTATTGTCTGTTATTTCATTTGTTTTATAATTTTCTTTTCTACTTGCATTACATTTGTATTTGGAGTGCATTTGATGGATAAATGATTTGATTCTTCCATGTAAAGGATTTAAGCTTAATTAAAGTTTTATAAACAGCATTTTGTGTTTTTTAATATGGCCAGTCTTGTCATTTTAAAACACACCACGAGAGGGCGCTGTCGCTCTTCAAACTCCTGACAGAAACACAGCATCACCTTCACATAACACAGGCTGCATCCGAAACAACACACTGTAGAAGAGGAGGGAAAAAAAAGTGTGTGACAAAACAAGTATGTAGGGAAAAAAGTACTGAAGTGTGCAAATGATGGACAGGTTACTATCCCATGAGGCCACAGGAGACAACATGGCGAATGTAGTACGTCCAGAAGACATTCATACTGTAAAAAACATACTTTTTAGCAGTCGTGTGTTACAGTAGTAAATCAAAAAAGTTTTTGATGAAAGGTTTTGGCACCGTAGAAACAGAATTAAGAGCTCAGATTTGTTAATATTATGGTTATTGATCTGACCTGCACTAAACATCTGCATGTTAGGCTACTTGTTTATCAGGAAAGGAGTGCTGTTACTTTCATAAGCGACTGGACTTTACACGCCGCTTTTACCTTGAAATGTAAAACTTTTTATGCCTTTTTTTAATTGAATATATTAAGGATTGCCTCTTGAGATGCATCATCTCATTTTCAAGAGGGTCCTATAAACAACATTATAAGCAAAAGACACATTTTTTGCATCATACTTGCTTGATCCATTATAGTTGCTCTAGAAGGCCTACAACAACATGGCAATATGATCAAATAAAGAAAATACTGTAAATGTTCAATCACATAAGAGAGAAAACCTTAAATATGTAAGCATTAATTCATAATTTAAAGATATTTTTAGTAGTGCAGGCAGATTTGGGCTCGAAGTTGCTGTGTTGAAAAACCTATTATACTTGTGGTGTATAAAACAAAGGCCAAAAATAAATACAAAAATCTGTCCTAATTTAAAGAAAACAAGTTTAAATAAATCCAATTTTTGGTGATAAAATAGCATAACAAGAGATTTATGAGCTATTATTTTGTTGGCTGCTCATTTTTGACCGTGAATACATAGTTCCCACAGGCAAAAAAATTGTCACGTGACCTCCCCGGAGACGCCATCTTTGAGGGCAAAACCGCTGTGTTTACCATAGGCGTTTACAACGTTTTATCAGAGAATGTCGTTTTACAAACAAATATTTATGTTTGTTTATATTGTTATGCAAATCATGAAAAGACAAAGTGTAATAGATTATAAAGAGACTATTAAAACAAGACATAGAGAGGTACAATGCGAAAATTTCATTCATAAATGGTGTGTATCCTTATGCAACAAAAGAAGCACTGAGCACCGATTATGCAACTTTGCCTCAGATACAGTATTTTCATGTGTACAATTATCTGGTATTGGTGAGGAGTTTTTACACATGTGAGCAATTCCAAGCCTGGAAATCACTGGAGGTGTACGATCAGATTGACGTGGGGTTGGTTTGGTGACGTTTGCTCAAGTGCAATCAATGGAAAAGTAACTTAAGTCATCATAGCGAAGTAGCATGATGCTAATCTGTCTATTAAAAAGCCATAGCCTGCACAACTTAATTCCTATGTTCCCCAGTCACCGGCGATTTCTGTAATATGCATGTACTTGCGGGCGTCATGGTTCGGTGCATGAATATTAAAATAAATAACTCGCGTGCAATTTAATTAATGTAATGAGGAACTACATTATACGCGGGATCTTTAGGGACATAATCTGAGATTGCAATGCTGGAATGTGAGATCAAACAGTGGAAACAATGTTGTTTTGTATGTTTTTAATACCTCGTCATTTTGTTTATACAGGACATTATTCAAACTGCAATGTGTTAACTTATATTTATTTACACTCGCAATAAAACACAACATTGTGCTTTTGTCAAACAAATTCTTGCGTGTTTTGAGTTTTGAGTTTCTTTCCTGTTTATGCTCGCCAGCCATAATCTCCGTCGTTGTTCGGACAAAAGCCTTCTCACATCCATATGGAGTCTAATGACGGGTATAGTGTAAAATCCCGATTTAACTGAACCTCCGGCACGATTTTATCATCCATTGACTCAGCAGGAGATGACCATTTTCACTTTATAGCACGAAACTCATTTCACTTCGTTCAACTCGTATTGCTTCTTCTTATGTTTTGCCCTTAGCAATGGCGCCGGGTCGGCAAATGCCCGTATGTTGTGACGTCATGTGGGAACTATGTATACCACAAGTCAGAGAAGTGCCATTTTGTACAAAATAAAAGCGTATCAAAACAAATGTCCCGTAGCACACTAGTGTGACAAACTGCACACGGTTTTCATATTTTATGTAAAATCGACAAAATAATCCACAAATAATTGATATATACGTAAGCTCAGATAAATGAGACCAACGATTGATCAGTTCCACAAAGAAATATAAACACTGCGGTATTTCCGGTGAAGGTCTTAAGTATACTGGATTACTTCCGCCGATCGTAAAGTCCAATGCTATGCTATACTAGCTCACCGAGAATTTATATTGGTTTTTATTCTCTATGGCTATACTAAAGAAACGTTAGTCATAAAAACATACACCCCTCATTTTGTTTATGCTTCTTTGTTTATTATATTAAATAAACATAACTATCTATAAAATTACACCAAAACATAAAGTTTCGTTTCAAAGACAGCGGTTTCCTCGATTTTCCAGCGCTTTAAATCTCGCCGCAACCGGAAGCTGAAGCGTAAAATGCGGAACTTATGCGAGAGTGCCGAAGTGATTACGTCACTTTGTAGGACAACTCCCCATAGACTTTTGGAAAATCGCAAAATAAGATCTGTGTTCAACAAAGAGTTGTGACCCTTACACGTTTTGTCTAGCAAGATAATCTTTACAAGTTAATCCACAATTTATACTTTTTGAAGCATATATAAAGTTTTTAAAAATACAACAGGTTTTAACTGCGTGTTTTATGTCATAGATCAAAACGTGAAAATATTTAGAGGCTTTGTTAACCACAGACCTTATTGCAGGAGATTTAGAAAAAACCCACTCAAAAATCCCATTGACTTTAGAGCGAGAGAACCGGGAGTGCTAAAATGCTAACTGACTTCCGCGTTTTGGCCTTTCTATTGAAATACAAGAAGCTAACAAAAAATTTTAATCCAATATTTGCTGATGATGCAGCGATTTATAAGCATATTTTATAGGCTGGTTACTTTTTGACCAGGAACACCAGTGTTACAATGTTGAAAAAACCTACAAAAACTTTTTTTTTTTTTTTTTTTTTGTGGTAAGTTTGAGAAGTATTTAGTCCAATGCAATAACATCTACTAGCATTTTGAGATACAGGAAAATCCTCTGCAGGTCAAAATCACCCGAACACTACATAAAGGTTAACACAGTACAAGTGTTATATAGGAACATGCACAGCTGTCAATCACTCACGAGTTTTTGTGCATTCACGTCACACTCAAAAAAATGCTTATCAATTTTGGGTCAAATATGGACAAACCCAGCCTTTGGGTTAATTTTTTTAATTACATTTTAACTCAACGTTTCGGTTCGTCCGTATTTTACAAAATTGATTTACAAAAACAGCATTTTTACAGTGCATAAACTCTGTAATTAATAAATTGAGTTATTGTGGGGAAGCCGATGGGGAAGCATCACTTCACATGAGCGAACAACAGTTACTGAGTGACTCAGAAATGAAACTTCATATATCAGTCATTCACGCAGCGCCACAGCAGCTTTACCATCAGTGTGTCTTTGAGGATTGTTTTTTTCTTGTTTCCACCACATAATGCAATCTAAAAATGCTGGGTTGTTACAACCCAACCGTTGTTTTTTTTGTTTTGTTTTTTAAGTCTGTCTATATTTGACCCAGACATGTTGAAACAACCCAGTACTTTCCAGAGTGTGTGTGTGGCATACTTCACAACGTCTGAATTGAAACCAAATTAAAATTCCAACAAAGAAAGCACATAAAAATATCTAACCTCCCAACTCAAAATATCACATCTACATTTAGTGAAATTCTGCAAAGTGATCAAATTGAATTGACAGAATTAATGATTTTGATGAAAAATTAAAAAAAACTGCACAAGCAATGTACACACAAAACACTAACAAAACAAGAAGTTTGCATGGTTTGAAATGGTAAAACAATAAAGAAAGTCTTGCAGTATTTGAGTTATACTTTATACATATAATGCAACGATATTTTGAAGTATGACTGAGTGTACAAACACACACATGTAACACGTGCAGCTGACAGGAAGTGGCCTGTGCTTAAACTTCATAAAGCTTCTCTTTTTTTAAAGAGTGTTACATCAGTTTGATAAAGGTCTAAATGTCATTTTGAACATGAAGAGGATATATGACCATCGGTGAGTGTGAGATCAGTCATTATCAGATGCTTGATCAAGGTCGACCAAAGCTGATTCAGAAACGCTTTCCTTTGAGTCATCTTATTAATGTGCTTTATGATTACACAGGTCATTTACACTCTACAAAATGCTGGGTTGTTTCAACCCGTCAAATATGGACGATGCAATAAAAATGCAATTTAAAAATGTAACCTAACTTCAACTTTCAACTGTAATTTTTTTTAATTACATTTTTAACCCAACATTTGGGTTTGTCCATATTTGACCCAAATTTGGGTTCAAACAACCCATTTTTTAGAGTGTACGTCGATGGCATTTGAGTTTAACTGTCAAAAGTATGTATATACTGTACATAGAAACAAAACATGTGTAACTGTATTTTGGATCCTTGCAGCTCTTAAAGTGACAGTAGGCTAATAAACCTGCTGTGTTTTTATGTTAATCAAACAGAGAAGAAAAAAAAAAAAAAAAAAAAAATCACACTGCTCTTGACTGAATAACTTTAATAAAGATTGATCTATATTTAATTTATTCAGAGAAGACTGTATTTTAAATTTGACATTTGATTATTAAATTGTTCTGAAAACTACTGTCAGACCAACCCACGAAAAACATGAAAAGCACTGTTTATTTCATTTGTACCTTGTTCTATTGTAGCCTATTTAATTGTGTTATTGCTCTTAACTT